ATTTTTTTTTTTTTTTTTTTTTTTTTTTAAAAAAACACACAGAACACCAACAGCATTTTGGTGCAATCTTGGGAATACACTCTACTTTATAAAAAGAACTATCCCTAATTTCCAAGTAACAATTCCCATCTTATTTTGAAAATATATGAAACTACTATAAAGCTGTTTCACAGGACTTAAATTGTTGAACAGTTATAACTTATATTAATATACTTATACTATATGATGGTAGCTTGTGGAGTTACAGAACACCAACTATTCACATCAACTCACTCTACAGACAACCTCAGTGCATACCAAATGCCTTCGTGTATTTAGGGCTAAATCCAAAGGTACCGTAATGCCTACCTTTTGGGAACCAGTCCTTGGAATGAAATGCAAAACCCAGAGTTAGGTTTCAAAGCTCCCTCTACAATACATGGCAAAACTTAGTTGCCTCTTTCCCATAGCCACCTTAAGCTATCCAAGAAGAAATGCTAAATAAAGATGGGGGTCTAAACTTTGAGAACCTTTCTAGAACACAGGTACCCAAATCAGGGTTACAGGCATATGATTTTCTTCTTTGGAGCTAGAGCCCAGCATCTGCCCCTAAGGGTAAGCACCTACACCTGCTCTTTTGAAGACCTGAAGAGGACTTCATGCTTTTAAAAGGAAAGCAGTGTTGGAAGAGGGGCTGACAGCATTGCCCATGTTATCATCCAATAGCCTAGTGGCCAAAACACTAGCCCAAGAAGTAGGAGACTAGTTTGAGTCTCATAAAAATTGCCATTTACTGGGTCAGACCATATATCCCTCTTGCCCAGTAAGTACCTTGTGTAACAATGGCAGAGAGTGGATGCTGAAAGGGAAAGTAAACTGGATAGGATTACAGTTTTTTCCCCACACTGTTCCTCTCTCTTGCAGCCTCCAGCTTTCTCTGCCCAGCCTCAGGAGATTCAAACCCATGTCACTTACCTCAAAAAAGGTCTCCGCCATGCTACAGGCCAGGGGTCAACAACATATGGCCTGTGGAGCCACTGGACGCAGCCTGCAGATCTAAAGGGCTTTGCCTGTGCCCATACCCATGCCCACACTGAGGCCAGGCACCTTCCAGATGTGCCTGCACAAGTACTGCTTATTCTTGCCCCCTCCCACCTCCTGTCCAGCACAGGCCAGATGGTTTCGGCCACAAGTCAGAGGCAGACAGCTATGCCACTACTGCTTTCCCCAGCTCCCTGCTCTCCAGCTGCAGAACAGGTGCAGCTTCCAGCCCAGGGGAAGCTACACTGAGGCAGGGCATCTGCAAACTGCCACTTTCCTCTCCCCTTCCCTGCCAAGAGTGTGGGCACATCTTGCAGCTCTGCACTGACTGGAAGCTGTGCCCATGCCACAGGCAGGGAGCAGCAGCAATGTCTCCCAGCTGCCCGGCTGGGCACAGGAAAAGCCCCTTCCCACTGATGCACTGCTGAAGACACCCAGTCTGTACTGGACCAGAGCTGGGTTTTCCCAGCCCATCTCTTGTAAAAGGTTGCAAGCCTCTGCTTTGTAGGGGCTGTTAAAGCTATACCATTCTTCAGAAAGAAATTAAAGATTCTTAGGGCCAAAGGGAAAGGAAGCAAGCAGCATAACCCCAAAGCATACTGGTTAGGGAACTCAGTTGTGAGAAGAAGCCTGCCAATCCACACCCCCCCCCCCCCCAAAACATCCTAGGCAAGAGATCTAACCACTAGGCCACGACACAAAAACTACCATCACTGCCACTGCCTCTAATGACCACATTTTAAAAATAAAGCAGTTACAGCCTCATTTTGTGAAAGGCACAATCTTGTTAGGGTGCGTTCAGCATGCTCCGTGCATACTTTTTGAATTGGGGGGACTTCAGCATCTCTCCACCTTTCTAAATCTAGATGCAACTTGCCTGCTTAGGACAAAGTTTTGTGCACACACAAAAAAAACTAACAACTGTAATTACAGCTAAGAAACTTTCAGCTTTGAGATGTCTAATGAGTTTTAGGTGGTTGCAGGCATTATGGGGGGGGGGGGGGGGGGGGGCGGCAAGTCGTAACTTTGAACATAAATCACCCAAGCCCTTCTCTGGACCTCACCTTTAGTACAAAGTACAAATGTCCACCCAGGAATTTAGCATGAAATAGAGAATTTGCTGTATATCCACACCCTAGCTTAGCGTGCATTACCTTCCTTGTGCAGACAAAGCCTCAACATTAGGACAACTAGATGAAGATGTAAAGCCAAAAGACTATTTATGTACAATTAAGGTTATCTTCACAACCAGAAAAACTAAAAAAAATGAAAGTTTTCATAGAGAGGCAAGGCTGAAAAGGACCTCAAGAAATCACCTAGTCCAAACCAGGGATTGAACCTGCCACCTCAGGGTTATTAGCAACATGCTCTAACCAACAAAGCTATAAAAACCCAGCAAAATGCTATACGTATGGTGACACCTTCACATGAGGGGG